GAGCGGACAGATTGATAGGGGAGGGTCAGGAGGTCAGAGATGTAGGAGGGGGCAAGGCCGTGGAGGGTCTTGAAAGTGAGGACGAAGATTTTGAATTCTATCCTCTGAGGGATGGGGAGCCAGTGGAGCCGGGCGAGGGTGGGGCTGATGGGGTCACGGAAGCTGGTGTGGGAGAGGACATAAGCTGCAGAGTTCTGGATGATCTGCAGGTTGTGGAGGGAAGAGTTGGGGAGGCCAACGAGGAGGGAGTTTCCGCAGGCGAGCCTTGAGGTGACAAATGTGTGTATGAGGGTTTCGGATGCCTGTGAGGTGAGGCAGCGGCGGAGTCAGGCAATGTAGCGGTTGTGGGGGAAGGCAGATCGGGTCATGGCATGGATATCAAATGCAAGGATTATTATTATTATATTTTTAGTATAGCATTCTTTAGTTATTGGGGCATGGACAAGACCCGTGAGAGGGGACATGTGCCAATTAGTGTTAGCAAAGTTAAAGATATATTGGCTTGATCCCGGCTGAGGTCAGATTCTGATAACTTTCCCTTGCTCGGTGCCTAGGTCCTATGTCATCCGCCCATCTGAGACTTGTGTCTGCCAGCAGTCGGCCAGAGGAGGGGGCATAGAACAGGGCGACATAAGTATAGACTTGTAAGGGCAATTTCAGGACAGATTTAGTAATATAGCTCAGCATCCTGTTTGCCTTGTTTACTGCTGTCTCACACTGTTTGACTTAGTGAGTGACGAGCCAACCAAACCCTCAGATCTCTCTCAACTTCCCCCTTGGCAAGTTCTCTCCCATCCATGGAGGACTCGTCTTTCCTGTTCTTGAATCCTTTATGTGGTAACTATGTGGCAATCGGGAGCGGAGTCAGGAGAGTGTGGGTGGGGGAGGGGGGGGGCGGGGTGGGTGGTAAGTGATAGGGGGGCGCTGATTCACAATGCAACATCATAACTAATAATAAAAAAACACAGCAACAACAACAACAATGGCCTGGCCACCCCTGTCACTGCCATCCCAGCCATGACCACACAGCCTGAGGGCTGATGCTGTCCCGCTGATCACTCACTCCTGGTCTCTGCGTGCGTGTTTTGGCTGCCGCCCCGACCCAGGTCTTCCCCTCCACTCTAAATGTCTCTCCTCCCACTCCCCTCTATCCGCTACTCCCCTTCTGTCCTTCTCTCCCACCGCCCTCCCCACCTTCTCTCTCTTCTCGACCCCATCACCACTTCCCTCTGCTCCATCCTGGGCATCCTCCGCCGGGCCCATCGTGGCTCCCGGCACTGGCTCTGCCAAAGCAGCAACCCCACGTGTCCAATCACTCACTCCCTCCACTCAAACCGCCTCCTTAAGGCAAACACAACTTCCCCTTCCCTCATACGTACCCTCCCCAACTCTCTACTCCCCCCGCACTCCACAGCCATCTGTCCTGTACATCCCGAAATCCTCTCTGTATCACTCCCTCCGCCCTCTCCTCCCTCCAGCAAGCCCACCCGCATTTCCCTCCAAAATGTCTGTTCCCTCTCAAACAAAACCCTCATCATCCACGACCTCATCCTGGATAAGCACCTTGACCTTCTTGGGGTCACCGAAACCTGGCTCTCCCCCAATGACTCCATCCCCCTAGCTACAACTTCCACCACACCCTCCGTCCTAACCAACGTGGCAGCAGGGTGGCCTTCATTTCCAAAGCCTCCCTTCATCTTTCCCCCTACTCCTCTGGCTGCGTCCCCTCCTTCGAGCACCTCACCCTCTTCGATCCTTCTCTCCCATTGAAAATCCTCCTTGTCTACCGCCCCCCTAAGCCCCCGGCTCCTTCCACACAGACATCACTACTCTCCTCTCTTCCCTGTCCCTCTGCTCCGAACGCCTGCTCATAATGGGCGATTTCAACCTCCACCTAAACTCCCCTTGCACCACATCTTCTGACGTCACTGCCCTCCTCTCCTTCCTAAACCTCACCCTTCATATTAATTCACCGACCCACAACCGTGGCCATGCCCTTGACCTCGTTATCACCCACGGCCTTGACATTTCCGACCTCAGCATAGTGGACAAGGCCATCTCCTCATCTCCTTCTCCTCTCACATCCCTCTCTCCTTCATTAAGCTCTCAACCATACCCGACCGCCCGTGGAAAAGGCTATATCCTGATACCCTCACAAAGGCCCTCACATCATCAGATATCCTATCCCTCTGGCCTTCCACCTGCGGAGAACCTGAAGCAGCCGTCCAGCTGCTCCATGATCGCCTCTTCCTCCACCTTCAACTCCCTCATCCCCCTGAAATTCAGGACCATCTCCAAACCCACTCGATCCCCTGGTACAATAACCATCTCCGCCGCCTAAAAACCCAAACCCGGCTGCTTGAGCGCAGATTGCGGAAAACTGCCCTGACAGTTCACCACCAACCTGTGGCTCGAGCATCTCCACAGTTACCGCAGTTCTTTGACACGCGCAAAAACGACCTTCTACTCTAACATCATCTTGGAGGTTAAACACAACCGAAAAATCCTTTTTTCCACCACCCACTACCTCCTCTGTGCACCCCCTCAGGCCCCTCAATCTTAACATCCAATGCCAAGTGCGAGGAGGTCATGGACTTCTTTTCATCTAAAATACATAACATCCACCAGGCAGCCTCATCCACCTGCCTCTTGTCACCCACCACCCCCTCTCCGTCCCCCTCACCCTCCCCATCATCAGGTCCTACCACAACCCCCATCCTACATTCCTTCCTCCCCATCACTCCCTCCTCCCTCTCGCCCACCATCACCTCCATGAAACCCACCACCTGCTGCCTCGAACCCCTCCCCACCAACTTGCTGGTCACCCAGCTCCCCCTCCTCTACCCACTACTGGCTGGTGTCATCAACCAGTCGCTCTCCTCTGGATCAGTCCCTGCCCCCCTCAAAACTGCTGTCATCAGCCCCCTCCTCAAAAAACCTTCCCTAGATCCCTCAAACCCCAGCCACTACCACCCCATTTCTAACCTGCCGTTCCTCGCCAAAGTCCTAGAATGCTTTGTTGCCAATCAACTCCGAGCACACCTCTCTTCCCATTCCCTCTTCGAACCCCTCCAGTCCGGTTTCCACCCACAGTACAGAGACTGCGCTTGTGAAAGTCACAAACACCATCCTCTCTATCTGTGACCAGGGCTCTCTCTGCCTCCTTGTCCTCATGGACCTCTCCACCGCAATCGACACAGTCAATCACGCCATCCTCTTCCACCGCCTTTCCTCCATCATCCACCTCAGTGGGACCGCACTCGCCCGGTTCGAGTCCTACCTCACAAACCGCCAGCAGTACATCTGCATAAACGGCTTCTCCTCCCGCTCTCACCCGGTTACCTGCGGGTACCCCAAGGATCCATTCTTGGCCCCCTCCTCTTTCTGATCTACATGCTCCCTCTTGAGGATGTCATCCACAGACATGGGGTATACTTTCCATATACCCGGACAACCCCAACTCTATTTTTCCACCTACACTTTGCAACCCCCCAGTCCCCTGATGTTCTGCCTGTCAGACCTCAGGGGCTGGATGAGTGCAAATTTCATTCAGCTGAACGTTGACAAGACGGAAGCCATACTCTTTGGCTCTCATCAACATCTAAAATCTCACGGCTCTCATCTCCTCCACCTACCCGACCTCCCCTTAAAACTCTCCGAACCAGTACTCAACTAAGGCATCAGGTTCGACCCCCAATTATCCTTCCGCCCCCACATCCGGTCCCTCACCAGCACCGCTTTCTTCCACCTCCGACGCATCACCTGTCTCCGCCAATACCTCTCTCCGAAAGCCGCTGAAACCCTGGTCCATGCCTTTGTCACCTCTCGGCTGGACTATTCAGCGCCCTCCTCACCGGCCTCTCCTCCATCACCATCAATAAAATCCATTTTATTCAAAACTCTGCCGCCCTCATTCTCACCCGCACCAAACTCCGCTCCCCAATCCCCCCAGTCCTTGCCAGTCTGCACTGGCTGCCTGTCCCAGAGAGGATTGATTTCAAGATCCTCAGCCTTGTCTTCAAATCCCTCCACTTCTCTGCACCCCCGACCTCTCTGACCTCCTCTCTCCTCAAAACAATACCCATTGCCTTCGTTCCTCTGGGTCTGGCCTCCTCCTCGTCCCCCGAGTCCTCCGCTCAACCCTCGGTGGCCGTGCCTTCAGCCACTATGCTCTGAGGCTCTGGAACTCCCTTCCTCACTCCCTTTGCCTCGTCCCCTCTCTTCCTATTTTCAGGTCTCTGCTGAAGATCTTTCTTTTTGACCGTGCCTTGGGTCACCTTCCTCCCCTCCCTCTGGCTCCTCCCTTCCCCCTCCCACACTCCTGGGATCCGTTGCTGTGAAGCTTTCTGAGATGCCATCCGGCGTGGAGGGCGCTATATAAATCCAAATTGTTGTTGTTGTAACTTGGATTCATCTGTATTAAACTTCATTTGCCAGTGATCAGCTCGTGTATCAAGCTCTCTTTGTAGGACCTTTGCTGTCTCTGATTCTACACTTGCCCCAATTTGGTGGATTCTGGAAATTATCTCACACTGGTTTTGCAAATCCAGGTCATTGATACATACGAGGAACAGGAGAGGCCCAGTACAGACCCCTGAGGCACCCACTAAACACCCTCTGATGATTTTTGACCAGTGATAACCTGATGTCGTGTTCAGGGTTTAATTCTGTTGACCATTAGCTTTGTAACATTATAACTTCTTTAGTTTTATTTGATTTTAACTTTTGTTGGTTCAGTAACATCAGAAATGGGATTTATTTTATGCTTTTCTCACTTCCCTAATTTTATTGCAACCAATTTGAACTCTTGTGATGAATGGACCTTCACACAACAGGACTACATTCTGTTGCAGGCAATTTTCTTTATTAGAGATTGGAAAATAATAGTCACAAAATGAATGTTCTCAGACATGATGTGCACATGGCCAGGCAGATGGCTGAGGCCAGCAACATGTTGCAAATAGTTATCCCAAACCTGTTGTGCTCTCCATCATGTAACCAAAATTATTGATCATTAGCTTTGAGCTATTTGTTTTGGAAAGATGGCTTCATACTCTCACTACCTGAACTGCTCACCCTGATCCCAGACAATGCCTTGTTGCCACAAAACCTCCTGTTACACACCACTTTCCTTGTTTGCCTTGGGTTTACATAAAGGAACATATCTTTGAAGTCTGCCCATGAGCTCTAATATGCTTCCTCCTACTATGAGCTACCCTGCTGCCCACGCTGCAGTCACTGTCAATGGCACCACCTCCTATCTCTAATCGTCGTCTCTTTTGTACCTGATGGAGAACAATCCTGTAAGTGCCAGTGATGGCTTTGTGGGACTCCGAGCAATGATTGTTGTGGATGTACCCCTCTGTGATTCCAAAACTGTTGAGAGTATTCTTCACCTCCCTCTCCTCCTCCGTAAGGGGGAGAGAGCTGATAAGGTGAGCTGGGTTCAAGTGGAATGGTTGGTATGGTTCTGGATACTCCATTCCTCTCAGCCATGTGCTGTTCAACAACTGCGTTGGGGAGGATCGGTTGCTGGGAACAGGCTGAAGGATTGCACGGATCAGGCTTTGGCAGGCGTCTGATACATAGGCTGGAATTGTGTAGGATCCCATTAAGATAGTTTTTCTCAGTTTCCTGACAGTGTCTGCACGGAATGGCATGTTGGCAGTCACCATAAAATACAGGAGAACACCCAGAGCCCAAGTGTCTACATAGATCCCCATGTAGTTCTTCTCTCTGAATAGCTCTGGGGCTGCGTATGGAGGGGAACCGCAGCAGGTGGTTAAGAGTTGATCTTGGATGCACAGGGCACTGAAGCCAAAGTCCCCAACCTTGACACAGTTTTTGCTAGAGTAGAATATGTTCTCTGCTTTCAGATCCCGATGGACCACATTGTTCTCGTGCTGCAAAACAGAGAATTAGAGATAAAGAAACCAGCCAAAGGCTTTATAGTTACATCAGGTGTGTTTGTTGCACAACAGGGAAGGAAATCATAGAATCGTACAACGCAGAAGGAGGCCATTCGGCCCATAGTGTCTGTACCAGCTCTTTGAAAAGAGCTTCCAAATCAATCCCACTCCCCCACTCTCTCCCCATAGCTCTGCAAACTTGTCCTCCCAAAATAATTATCTACTTTGCTCTTAAAAGTTGTTATTGAATCGGTTCCCACCGGCCTTTCAAGCAACGCATTCCAGATCCCAACAACTCGCTGTGTGAAAAAATTTCTCCTCACCTCCCCTCTGTTGCAAAGGAGACTGACCAGGATGGTACCAGGAATGAGGGCTTCAGTTATCAGGAGAGGCGAGAGAAGCGAGGGTTATTCTCCTTGGAGCAGAGAAGGTTAAGAGGAGACTTAATAGAAGTTTTTAAAATTATGAATGGATTCGATAGGGTGAACAAGGAGACACTATTCCCACTGGCGGGTGGGTCGGTAACCCGAGGACACCGATTTAAAATAGTTGTTAAAAGAAACAGAGGGGAAGTGAGGAGAGCCTCGGTCTTGTGATCTTCAACTGTAGAAATTTTGTAAAATTTTGTAAAAATCCAGGACTTGATGTCTGACAGACATTCTGTCAGGACAGCAGTGGGACCTGGAGTCAAGGTGGAGGCAGACATAGAGCTTGGAAATGTTTTTCAACTCACTTCCGACCAGTCTAATTGTAATGTTAAGTGATGGAAACAATGTCAGGCCTATCCCTGGCAGCACAGTGAGCAGGTTCCCAGCATGTGTGCCATTTACCATGTGTTTGACAGCTGATACAATTTGAATGAAGATCAGCTTTGCCTCGTGCTCTGACAGGCGCCCCCATGTGCCGATTTTGGTGAACAGCTCCCCCCCCCCTGCGTACTCCAGCACCAAGTGCAGCCGGTGATGTGTCTCCAGCACCTCGTACAGGCGGATGATGTTTGGGTGGTGAAGCCGCTCCATGCTCAGCACCTCACATGAGAAGAGCTGCCATGTCTTGGCATCAAGTCGTTTCTTATCCAGTATCTTGATCGCTACCTTTTCTGTAGGAAGAAGTTGGTTAATTTTGGTATTAATGACAAGAGGCACAAACAAACTAAGCACAAAAGGGAACAAAATGAGAAGTTAGTTTTTATTCTGCTGTGTAAAACCGCAGTTACACAGAGGCTGGTGTGAATCTGAAATTCTCTTTGACAAAAAGGAATGGGGAGAGGGAGGTAGTGAGAGGGGAGGGGAAAGGAGGGGGGCGAGGGGGAGAGGGAGTCAAGGAAGGGGAGGCAGGGAGGGACTATTACCTATCTACTAGAGACTATCTACGCCCTCCTCGCTCCCTCCCTTCCCTCCCCTCACCCTGACCATTTCACCCCTCCTCGCTCCCTCCCTTCCCTCCCCTCACCCTGACCATTTGCCACCTCCTCTCTCCCTCCCTTCCCTCCCCTCCCCCTGACCATTTCCCCCCTGCTCGGGTCCTGACCCAACTGTCCAGCGCCTTGGGACGTCCTCCTAACGTGAAAAGCGCTCTATAAATGGAATCTTGTTGTTGCTGTTGTTGTATTACCTTTGGTCAAGTTATGAATCCCGAGTTTGACTTGTGAGAAGTTGCCGAAGCCAATCTTGCCGTGGAGCTGGTAAAATCCAATCCTCTTTCCCACAATCAATTCGTGTTTCACCTTCTCATTGGTCCTCATGTCAGAAGTTACTTTCTCAAAGGGTGTGAGCAACAGATGGGAGCCCTTCTCCTCCTCACATGGCCCCAGCGATTGACAACCGAGCCCAGGACTGCAGCCAGCCCACTGTGCAGCCCGACGGTCCATCAAATCCTTGTTTCCAAACACATTCAACATTGCCATTATTTTGTCTCAGTGGCTGTCTCAGCCTCGAACTCTGTTTCCTTCAAGCAGTCAACTCCAACAAGAAAGTCACTGTGATCAAAAGGGAAGCTATTCACGGGCTGCTCTCTCAGTTCCAATTCCCAGAACTTTGATACTGAATTCATAGCCTTTAGTTTCTGTTTCAGAAAGCCTCTTCCTGTCACACAACAGGGAGGTGAGGTGGGGAGTGTTGTGAGGTGGGGGGTGTTATGAGGTGGGGGGTGTTGTGAGGTGCATAAATGCACGGAGTGTGAGAAATCAGATTGGTGAGCTTCAGCTCAAGCTGCCACATGGGGTTATGTGGCAATAATGGAGACTTGGCTCAAACGAAGGCCAGGAATGGGAGCTGAATATTCCTGCCTACAACGCATTCAGGAGGGATAGGGAAGAAAAAAGGAGGGTGTGTGGGGGTGGCAATATTGGTTAAAGATGGTTAAAGCCCTAGAAAGGGATGATGTGCTAGAGGGTCAAAAAACAAAATCTTATTTGGCTAGAGTTAAGGAGCAGAAAATGAGCTGTTAGTTTGTTAGGTGTAATGTGGCCATTTTCAATGCCTGGAGCAGCCGTTGGCCTACACGAGAGCGAGGCCGAACACGGTTCAAGGGCAGCACCGGCGTGGAGTACGATTCCTCAATCGGTGCCCTGATCCAACCCGGGGACCAAGGCCCACCTACCCGCTCCATGGGGCCATCATGAATTTCCCCTCCGCAGACATGGCAGCCATCACGGTCTCTCCCGGTCACCAGCCAACTGGAGCCCGGCTGCCGCATGAGGTCACAACTGCCCGCCAACTCTGAATCTCTCAGCCTGGACTGACTATACACTGTTCCCCCTCCCCATAATGACTCTCACCAGAGTACCCACGCCTCGCTAACCCCCCACCCCCGCCGTTTGCTGTTAGTCTTGGCCTGCGCATTATGGCTGCTTCCCCACAATGCCACCACTCGTCCTCTACCCTCCCTTACTCCCGATGGTCCTCCTCTCCCACCGCCCTCCCCGACTCCTATCCCTGCTCAACCATTCCACTGCCTCCCTGTCTAACAGCAGCCACTCGGACTGTCCTATCCCCTACTTTCGCCGCAAGGCTCACCGGACTCTGACCACAGGGGTCAACCTCCTCCCTGATCCACATTCCCCCCCCCCCCACCACCTTGCCGCCACCAACCATCCCCTCCGCATCGGTCTACAAAACATCCGTTCCCTCTCCAAAAAATCACACACCATCCAAGACCTCATCGTTGATGAACACATCGACATCCTCGCCCTCACTGAAACCTGGATCGCTTCAGGCAACATCTTCTCCCTGACTGAGGCCACGCCACCCGGCTACACCTTCCATCATACCCCTCGACCTAACCACCGTGGTGGCAGTGTGGCTCTCATCTCCCGGTCCCCGCTTGGCCTATCTCCGTACTCCTCTGGAACCTTCCCCTCGTTTGAGCACCTTACCCTTTATCACCCTCCAACCTTTCCCTCAAAATTCTCCTTATCAACCACCAAGCCCTTCCCCACCTTCATCCCCGACATCTCCACCCTCCTATCTTCCCTCTCCCTTTGCTCTGAACACCTCCTCATCCTCGGCGATTTCAACCTTCACTTCACCCCCTCCTGCTCTATCTCTGCTGACTTTTTCTCCCTTATCTTCTCCCTCAATCTCTCCTTCCACATCCACTCCACCACCCACATCTACAGGCATCTCCTCGACCAGGTGATCACTCAAGGTCTCACCATCTCTGACTTCACCATCATTGACAAAGCGATCTTGGACCATCACTTCATCGCCCTTAACTCCTCAATCCCTCTCCCCACCGCCACCCAACCCACCTACAGCCCCCGGAAAAAAATCTCTCCTCCCCACCTCCGTCCCTCTCAGCTGCCCTGGAGTCATCTAAACTCCTTCCCCTCTGGGCGTCCTCCCACAATGACCTATTCTCCTCGGTCACTCTTCTCCACAGCTCCCTCTCCTCCACTCTCCATTCCCTCGCTTCCTGAACTGTCTCCTACTCATGCAAATGAACCTGGTACACAAGCCACCTCCATTCCCTTAAAGCCCAGGCGCATTCCGCTGAGTGCATTGGCTTAAATCAAACTAACTTTCTACAGTTGAACGTCAATAAGACCGAGGCTCTCCTGATTGGCTCCCGTCAGCGCCTTCTCACCTCAGGCGCTGACAGCATCACCATTCATGGTTGTACACTCCACCTTGCTAAGCCAGTGTGGAACTTTAGGGTCTTGTTTGACCCTCAACTATTCTTTCTACCCACATCTGTGCCATGACCCGCTCTGCCTTCCCCACCTCCGCAACGTCATCCGGCTCTGACACTGCCTCACACCGCGGGCTGCTGAAACCCTCATACATGCCTTCGTTACATTAAGGCTCGACTATGCAAACTCATTGCTTGTCGGCCTCTACAACTCCTCCCTCCACAGGCTGCAGATTATCCAGAACACTGCAACATGTGTCCTCTCCCGCACTAGGCTCCGTGACCCCATCTCCCCCATCCTTGCCCGACTCCACTGGCTTCCCATCACACGGAGGATAGAGTTCAAGATCCTGGTCCTTACCTTCATAGTCTTCCTCCCCCCAAACCTCTCCAACCTCCTAAAGCCCTATCACCCTGTTCGCTCCTTCCATTCAGCAGACCTTGCTCACCACACTATTGGCGGGCAGGCCTTCTGCCACTCTGCACCCACACTCTGGAACTCCATCCCGCAGTTCCTCCATCTCACCCCTTCCCTCACCACCTTCAAGACCCATCTGAAGAACCTTCACTTCGACTGTGCTTTCGATCCCCCTGCACTCCCCCTTCTCCCTCCGAACCCCAAACCTCAGCTCGGATCTGTAACTCTGTCTGTCCAGCGCCTTTGGACTTCCTCCTGTGTGAAAGGCGCTATACAAATGCAATTTTGTTGTGCTGTTGTGTAAACTATAGACCAACAAATAGTGGGAAGGAGATAGACGAACAAACCTGCAGCAGATTTCAGAAAGATGCCAAACTAATAGAGTAGTGATAGGGAGTCCTGTAGCTCAGTGGTTAGAGCACTCGCTTTGCAAGCGAGAGACCTGAGTTCAATTCCAGGCAGAGGGCGAAACCTTGGGCAAGTTTCCTTACTCCACACAGAGCCTAATAATAATCCCTCCAAAACCAAAAACAATAATAAATTAGACATTTTCAATCTACAACTGTTTGTGGGACATTGCTGTGCGCAATTGGCTGCTGCGTTCGCCCACAAATATAGTCAATTCACTTTACAGTGTGTTCTGTGAAGCGCTTTGGGACGTCCTCCCGACGTCCCAGGATAATCCTGGAGGAGAAGAACAAGCCCAGGCTTCTTTTTTCTACCACATCCCGACTCCTCCGTCCCCCCGACCACCCCGCGCAGGTCATCTGCTCCAACCTTCACTGTGAGGAGAGCTGGATTTCCTTGAATCCAAAATCAAGGGAATCCGCTCCGCGGTCACTCCCCCTCCAGCTTCCACCCACCCCCCACCCCTTCCCTCCCACACATGACTCCTACCCATCCTCCCCTACACACCTTCGTACCCGTTTCCCCACCCTCTGTCACCAAACTCATCCTATCCCTAAAACCCACCACCTGCTCCCTTGACCCCATCCCCACTCCATTCCTTATCTCCCAGCTCCACCTCATTGCCCCACATATCAGAGACATCATCAACCTGTCCCTCTCCTCTGGCTCTGTTCCCATTCCCTAAAAACTGCCATCATCATCACTCCCACTTTGAAACAACCCTCCCTTGATGCGTCGCAGCTATCAAGCTATCAAGCTATCAAGCCATCTCCAACCTCTCCTTCCTGTCCAAGGTCCTTGAAAGAGTTGTGGCCTCCCAGCTGCGCTCTTTCCTCTCCACCCATTCATTATTCGAACCCCTTCAGTCGGGTTTCCGTGCTGCCCAGAGCACAAAAACCGCCCTGGTCAAGGTCACCAATGACATCCTGACCATCTCTGACCAGGGCTCCCTCTGCCTCCTCCACCTATCGGAAGCATTTGATAAGGTCGACCACGCTATCCTCCTCCACCGCTTGTCCTCCCACCTCAACCTTCAAGGCCCTGTCCTTGAGTGGTTTAGGTCGTACCTCTCCCACCGTCTTCATTTTGCTTCCACAAACGGCTTTTCCTCCACCCCCCGCACTGTCTCGTGTGGTGTCCCTCAGGGCTCTGTCCTCGGTCCCCTCCTCTTCACCCTCTATATGCTCCCCCTGTGGTGACATCATCCGCAGACATGGGGTTAACTTCCACATGTATGCGGATGACACCCAACTCTACCTTTCCTCCTCTACCCTCAACTCCACGACCCCCGATGTCCTGACAGCTGTCTGTCCGACATCGAGTCCTGGACGAGAGACAACTTTCTTCAGCTCAACGTGCGCAAAACTGAGGCCCTCCTGATTGGCTCACGTCAGCGCCTCCGCACCTCAGGCGCTGACAGCATCAGCATCCAAGGCCGCACTCTCCACCTCTCAAAGCCATCAGGAACCTCAGTGTTCTGTTCGACCCTGAGCTTTCCTTTCTCCCTCATATCCGCGCCACAACTGGCACCGCCTTCCATCACCTCCGAAACATCGCCAGACTACAGCACTACCTCACCCCTCACGCTGCTGAAACTCTGGTCCACACCTTTATCACCTCAAGGCTGGACTATGGGAACTCTCTCCTCGCCGGCCTTCCTGGCCCTCCCTCCACACTACAGGTCATTCAGAACTCTGCAGCTCATGTACTGTCCTGCACCAGACACCGCGACCACATCACTCCCACCCTCGCCCTCGCCCTCACCCTCGCTCGCCTCCACTGCCTCCCCATCCCCCAGAGGATCGAATTCAAGATCCTCATCCTCGCCTACAAGGCCATTCACGGCCTCGCTCCCTCCTACTTATCTGACCTACTATCCCCCTACTTACCTGCCCGTATCCTTCATTCCTCTGGCTCCGGTCTCCTCCACATCCCCCGCCCCA